TCATTTGATTGCAATTCCCGTCGTCGCCATATGATCCGTCGGTGAGTTGCACTGACGAAGGAAGATGTAGGCCGTTCGATGAGCGAACAAATTTCCGAAGGATTCAAAAGTTCCTGATTCAGGATAATATCCACCTGATTTGAACACCTTCACCAAGTGTTCATAGAGAAGAATTGCTGGTCAGCGTAGATGAATGGTTTAGTATTTGGAGAGTTGTTTCTGCTTTGAGCCATTGCACGAACACCATTGGGAAATAAAAGAATGACGATATTTCGGCCGGAAGATGGTCATTGATGATGACGTTTGAAGGATGAAATGCACTGAACAACAGCGTTTCGATCGTTGTTTTTCTTGAAAATGATGTTCCTTCCGTTTATGTGTTCTTCTGGTTGAGTGTTCTTCCGTTACACTCAAATTATTTTCGCTGCTCGAATTTACTTCAAATTCCTCGTTCCAACATAGTCGTAAACAATTCTGAAGAAATCGATGTATGATTCCCATACTGAAGAAAATATCGTCATTTTTTTCAAGAATGGAACGGAACCAATCCATTTCTAAGTGCTCTAAATGATGCGAAAGATTGAATTCGATGTATGAGCTGTTTTTGGTTCTATTGTTTAGTGACAGAAATTTATGACTTCTGGTCTGGCTTTCTGATGACTTCGTTATTGAATACGTCATTGGAATATTTTGAGCATAGCATCATTCGACCTCATACTTCAACCCGTATTTTAAAATGAGCAATATGTTATACTTATCTGCTATCTGTTGTGCGACACTTCATTTTGGTGTGACTGTTCAGTTGTATCGTCACAACTGAGGATTCATTCACTAACTTCATTTGAATTTTAGTCTGTACGGTGGTTGTGCATAAGCGCTGTCATGAAGAGGTCGTTTGGAAATGTCCAGGAAGCAAAACGGATGCAATTGATGAGCTGCGGTTAGAGGCTGCTGAGGTCAGTCGAGTCTCTGATCTCTGAACAATTTGGCGGCCATGAGAAAATTCATGAAACCAGTTGANAATGTCCAGGAAGCAAAACGGATGCAATTGATGAGCTGCGGTTAGAGGCTGCTGAGGTCAGTCGAGTCTCTGATCTCTGAACAAATTGGCGGCCATGAGAAAATCCATGAAACCAGTTGAAAGCCATCCGAACATGTAGTCTTGAGAAAACATGTTTCATCATAAAATAATGATGAATTTAAGTGTTGAATGATGAATTGAAAACTAAATTGATGAAAAAATGATGAATCAAAATCCATTGTGAACACAGTGGTGAGCAGCACAATCTCAGAGGATCACACAAACACAAATGACAAGAAACGGTAGCGCATTGAGCATTTGAATTGAGTTTCAGCAAGGATTAGGTCGTTTCAATATCAATATGCCGCATCGATTCAGCGTTCACAGCTATAAGCGACCGACATTCTGTGATCATTGTGGATCGATGTTGTATGGACTTATTAACCAGGGTCTTCAGTGCTCTGTCTGTAAGCTTAACGTACACAAACGGTGAGTCACTTAGGTAATCTTCCGAACTTGTGAACCAGTTTCTTGTAATGTCTACATTTCATTTGCTCTGTGAATATCCTCAATTTTGATTACATCCATCGATTATAAAGATTTGAAAGTTAGTTGTTGATCCATACAATTCCTGATACGATATCAGTGAGATGATAACTAGACAACTTTTCAAGAACTCTGCTCCAGAAAACTCAGCTAAGAATCACTATCGTTATCTCCACTGTCCAATTCACCACTCGAAATATTTAGCTATTTAGCATTCAGTGATGAGTGAATTGATCGAATGCAATTGCAGGTGTCAACGAAATGTGGCGAACAATTGTGGCATAAATGCGAAGCAAATGGCGTTGGAGTTGGCGCAGCTCGGTCTAACNGGTGACAAAATGTCGATTCGTGCAAAGAAGAAGGTATTATCATATTACACCAATTCTGAGCGTTTGCTTGAGACTCGAGCGTTCATTGCTCAGTGAACCGAATGAAAGCACTAGAGACGCCAGTATCCGATCAGCAAACTCCGGCAAATCTCTTCGAAAAAAGTGGTGGTCTTGCTTCTCGTCAGCAATCATCAACAAGCTCTAAAAAACTGCTGCAACGAATAATCCACAATAAATAAGTGAACCAATGTAAATATAAAGTGTCACTGAAAAGTTGCATTGAAATTTTCTTGTTCGTTGTATGCAACAATTCCCATTCGTTGACAATCACCAATCGGTAGCCAATAAAATGTGTTACACGAAATTTATTTGTCAGCTGAAGTCATTAAAGTTATTGAATGAGCTGTTGCTAGGTGTCAAAAGTGCTTCTTGTAATACGTTTGATTTACATTTCACCATTGAAAGAACCGACTTAGTTTTGAGTGCAACAAGCGATCATGTTATTGCCATATCTCATAGAGTCAGTTCACTTAACGGATGAATCCATATTTGTTTCAAGTATGGATGAATCCATATTTGTTTCATATCATAAACTATTGATTTTCATTGTGATTCCTAACATCATCCGTTGCAGCCTTCAATAATGCCAGGTGATTCGTCAACGGATATTTCGATGTTGTCCTCATCTGATTCTTCGATAATCTCCACGCAAAGTTCAGTCACTGATGGAGGTTCTCATCTCATGCATTCTTCA